CGACCGCATCGGCGACCGCAGCCGTGATGAAGCTGCCTCCAGCACCGGAGCTGCCCAATCCACCGCGCTGCTCGCTGCCGTGGGTGCAAAAGTCGACGTCGTCCTACTCGGCGGCCATGGTGACCGTGGGTGCGCTGCTCGGCCTCATGACGCTATCGCGCGCCTCGCATCTGTCGCGCCGCTTCGGCAGGCGTCCGCTGCTGCTCATCGCCCACGTGGTGATTGCGCTCGCCATCCTCGTGTTCCGCGTGGCGGTGGTGCTGCCGCCCATCGCAGGCGCAGTGGTGCTCTATGCCGCCGTGGTCATCTCGGAAGCTTCGGCAGGCGCGCCTCTGCGCATCGCCATCCAGAACTACGTCGTAGACACCACCTCCGAGGCACAGCGCGCTGGCGCACTCAGCTTCATCGAGGGGTTCGGTCAGATCGGCGCCTTCCCCTCGAGCGCCCTCGGCGGTCTGCTCGCCAGCCTCACCAACGAGTTCTTTGCGCCCTTCTATGCGGACTGCGCCCTCATGATCCTCGCCGTCGCTTACATCCTCGTCATCGTGCCCGAAAGCAAGTCGGGCGCCGAACACACGTTTGTCGACCAGTGGATCCACTCGGACGAGCTCGAGGCGGATGCGCAGTCGCAGTCGTCAGGCACACATCCGGATAACGCGGGGGAAAGCGCGGAGCAGAACCACTCCAACCTCACCTGGTCCTCGTGCCACACCGACGGCGACTCGTCCAAGCTCAAGTGGCGCTCGCGGCTGCGCAAACTCAACTTCCTGCGGCCGCTCGCCATCTTTGCGCCGAGAAGGAGACACTATACGCCCACCACCGAGCACGACGTGATGCACGCACCTCTCGACACGGCCGACCACGATCATCGCCCGGCTCCAGGGCAGCAGGCGGAGCTGTCGACGGCGGTGCACAAGGTGCAGAGCCGCATGGATTTCCGGCTGCTCAACCTAGCTGCGGTGGTGGTGTTTGAAGAGACGTACCAGGCGTTCATGGTGCCGCTGCTGCTGCTGTACAACAGCGAGCGCTTTGGCTTTGACGTGCTGCAGAACGGCTACCTCGTGAGCGTGCTGCAGAGCACGCGCGCGCTCTTTCTCACCGCCATCTTCCCGCCGGGAGTGGCGCTGGCGCGCAGGTACGTGACCAAGCTCGCCGTGGCGCGTCGGAGGAAGCAGGTGCGAAAGCTCAAGCAAAAAGCCAAGGCGCAGAATCAAGCGCGCACGCCAGGCGATGCGGGCTCAGGAGCCAACGAGGAACGCGCACCGCTCGTACGCGGCGGTTCGAGCAGGTACGGCAGTGTGGGCGCGCATGATCATGGCAACCAGGCGAATGGCGCAGGTGGGCAAGGTTCGGTGCAGGCTCGGCCCGCGCGCCGACGCCCGTCGTACCGGTCCGCGGCGGCATTGGGCTATTCGGGCCTCAAGGCGAATAAGCGCGCTTCGATGGCGTCGCAAATCAGCGTGGGCAGCAACAACTGGGAGACGCATTCGATCTTTACCCACTCGCCCTCGGACCTGATCAAGCGCATCCAGCGCGGCAAGCTCGACATTTCCATCATGGTTGCGTCCTACACGCTTGCCACCGCCTCGTTCCTCGTCATGGCCAGCTCGGCAAAAGCACCCACTACGACGAGTGCCAAGGATGGGGATGGCAAGTTGTGGTGGAGCAGTGCCTGGATTCCGCTCGTGCTGGCGGTGGTGTTGTTGCAGATCTCGGCGGGCTCCACCTCGGTGCGTACGGCGCTGGTGGTGAATGCCGTGTCGGAGGACGATCAGACCAAGGCGCTTGCAGCGCATCAGATCCTCGTGACGACCGTGGCGGCGGTAGTGCCGCTGCTCACGTCGTTCGTGTACGGTGTGGCGCTCGAGCGGGGCCATCCGGAACTGGTGTGGCTCTTCAAAGCCTTGTTTGCCGCCCTGGCCGCGGTGGGTGCGCTGGGTCTGTTCTGGAGCCATCGTGGGTTCTATGAAAAGGCGCATGACGAGGACGATCAAGAAGAGACCAGCGACGACGAGTCCGAGTCGCATACATAAGAACACTCTCGATCCATGGTAGAAGGCAATTGCAATGCATGCACACATCTCGAGGTGGATGTGGGGTCTTCGGCAAATAAGCCGGAATGATGGCGGGTGCAGCGTTTAAATGTGTTACGTCGACAGCTTTGAGAGAGCACAGAGAGATCTCCGGAGCGCTGCCGGTGGACCAAGGGTTCGGCCAATTTCACGAGCCAAAAAAAAAGAGGGAGGATTTCGAGTCGGAAGAGGTCGGCACGAAAGGCGCAACGTCACGAGCGCCCAAGCGATCGCCCCGCCGAATTTCGCCAAAAAAACAAAAACACACACACCCAACCCAGCCAAAGTGAAATTGCCGGTGACCCGGGGCGCCGATCGGTCAAAGCCCAACCGAGCAAGCGAGCGAGCAATCTCAAGAGAGAGAGAGAGGCGCGAGTTTTTCTTCCGACCCAAGAAGATCGGGTTGGCCTTGGATGGGGAGCGCAGAGAAATGCGGTCCGCTCTCCGCCCTCCTGCTCCCCCGCTGTGTGGGAGTCACCCGCACCCGCACCCGCCGCGCCGCACGACGCTCGATCGGCGCAAGGCACACCTCTCTCGCTTCCACGCTGGATTGTGCAACGCAAGTTCTCGCCCTACCCGCCCCTCCCCACACTTTCGTACTCCCCTTTCTCACTCTTGCAACTCCACCTTCTCGTTCTTCCCATCCTCGTCGTTGCTCTGCCTTTCGTCCACTTCCCTCTTCCCACACACTCGCTCTCTCGCTTCGTGCCTCCACCTTTCCTGCTCTCTCTTCCTCTTCCGTACCGTGTTTCTGTCCGCGTCACTCTCTCTCACTTGTTCGCATCCAAGCACGATCACACGTCCAGAACTCTTCAAAAGGTCCCAAGACGCTTACTGCTCTCGAACACGGCAATTCAAAGCTAGGTAGGATACCGCCATCATGTCGCATTTCGTGCCTCCCATGTTCTGGCCGCGACCCGTGCACTGCGAGTCGGCCTCGTCGTCAGAACCGCAGCAGCCGCAGCAGCCGCAGCAGATGCAGGCTGTGGCTGTCAATGGCAACGGCAATGGCAATGGCAATGGCAACGGCAACCATGGCGTGTACTGGATCCCGCATCTGCCTGGCGAGGGCCGTTTTGTGGTCAACGCCAAGCTGTACTCGCGCCATGACGCCGACCCTTCGTTCCAAGAGCACATGGAGAAGTTCCGACGCGAAGTGGCGGCGTCGTCGCCGGGCATGCTCTCGTACAAGACGTCGGTGGTGCGCGGCGCGACGGACAAGGAGAACCTCATCTGCCACGACCTCTACATTTCGGACGACCTGGAGCCGCATCCGGTGCCGAGCACCAAGGAGGACAAGGAGGCGCTGGCGGCAGAGCGTCTCAAGGAGCTGCAGGAGGAGAAGCGGGAGAAGCCGGTCAAGAACGCACTTAGCGAGATCGGCAAGTCGGCGTACAACTTTGGGCTCGGAGGCATTGCGGGTTCGGTGGGTGCGACGCTCGTGTATCCGATCGACCTGGTCAAGACGCGCATGCAGAACCAGCGTTCGGCGGTGGTGGGCGAGCCGCTCATGTACAAGAACTCGATAGACTGCGTCAAGAAGGTCTTCCGCAACGAAGGCGCGCGCGGCTTCTACTCGGGCCTGGGCCCGCAGCTGCTGGGCGTGGCGCCGGAGAAGGCGATCAAGCTGACGGTGAACGATCTGGTGCGCGGGCACGCCAAGGACCCCATCACGGGCGCCATCACGCTGCCGTGGGAGCTGTTTGCCGGTGGTGCGGCGGGTGGATGCCAGGTCATCTTCACCAACCCGCTCGAGATTGTCAAGATCCGCCTGCAGGTGGCGGGCGAGATCGCCAAGCAGGAGGGCGGCGACCGCGTAGCACGGGGTGCGGTGCACATTGTTCGCCAGCTCGGTCTGGTGGGGCTGTACAAGGGTGCATCGGCGTGCCTGCTGCGCGACATTCCGTTTTCGGCCATCTACTTCCCCGCCTACGCGCATCTGAAGAAGGACACCTTCCACGAGGGACGCGATGGCAAGAAGCTCGG